CGTCAGCCAGCAGTTTAAATGTAAGATGTTCACAAGATCAAGCCTCTTACACGTCAGCCAGCAGTTTAAATGTAAGATGTTCACAAGATCAAGCCTCTTATACTTCAGCCAGCAGTTTAAATGTAAGATGTTCAAAAAAATCAGGCCTCTTATACTTCAACCAGCAGTTTAATGTAAGATGTTCACAAGATCAGGCCTCTTATACTTCAGCCAGCACTATAAGTGTAAGATGTTAAAAAGATCAGATCTTTTATGTTTCAGCCAGCAGTTTAAGTGTAAAATGTTCACAAGAACAGGCCTCTTACGTTTCAGCCAGCAGTTTTTCATTTATCATATGTAACCTATGTTAACAATGATTACTTGTGGACAGTAAAAGATGTCATGAGTACCACAGACATTAAGAGAAATTTTTTCACCCATGTACGTACTATATTAAAACATGCTTACCTGAAGAAAACTGAAATATGCTATTTTCTTTTTATTAACAACAGTTAATATCTCCCACTAAATACATCAATTGTTAGTTAAGCTTTCTTACTAGAAATCTTAATCACCAGATATATATACAAAAGTCAAAATACATGACAAGTCTCTGTCTAGAGTAATTTACACTACTCGAAAGTTATAAATGACATAAATCACTTTTATCTGAGTAAGTAATCAGATGACTTGAAAATTACCGTTGATGGTGATGCAGTTTACTTTTTATAGAAAATTAAACTAGTAAAGGATCTGTGAAAATTAACATGAAACAATACCTTTGGAAAATATTTCCACCTTTCATTTTGAATGATAATTTGTATGTTTCCATTAATTTTCAAATAAATTCAAGCAACTAACCCAAAGACCCCCACAAACAACCTTTATCTTCTACTAGAGGACCTCAATGAAAAAACTTCAGAACATTAGAAATGTAAGGACTTACTTTGAACAATCTCTTATTTGATCTGACAATTTATTTTGGTAAATCAGTACATTCAATCTTGAGAACCTCCAAAACATCTTTGATCCTTGTATGGGAGCTTAAATTTGACAATTTCCAAAATCTTAATTTAGATTATTGTGTTGAATGAGTGTTAATACCAATTTTCATGTAAATCAATTCCATCAAACCTCAGAACCCACAAAACCTTTGACCCCCAATTCGGGGCACCCTCAAGGTTCTTTTGAAAATATTCTTCTTGAGGAAAAACAAAGAAATTATAAAGCACAAATAATGGTATTTAAAACCACGAACACAAAACTAGAAGTAACTGACATAATTAAACTATTTTAAATACATATCTCTATGTCGTCGTTGTTGTTTTAGTGAAATATACAATGTTCACAAAAATTCTTAAAACAGCCTAAAAAAAAAAAAATAGGCATACTGGACCAAGCTATAACCTAACCAAGTTTCAAGTCAATGTGCCAAGAAATGAAGGAATGGCAATCAATTGAAAAATGTTTGGAAGAATAAGTAAGAAAGAAAAATCAATAGAAAAATTGTGTGTATCTCTGCAGGGATATAATTACTGAACAGGTAAAGATGAGACTACAGAGAAAAAATACTTCACATATCTCTTTTAATACCACAATATTTAGATATTGTTATAAAGAAAATTATGCTCAAACTAATACAGTTTAAAAGTTAAAATAATATGGGAAGTTTTTGGATTTTAACCCATTGATTACAGCTGCTCCAAGCACACGTGAAATTTTTGCAAGCCATATTTATCTGCCATACACCCCATATAACACATTCACGTTCAGGAAGCAGACCGCACCCTATACAGCAAATGATTCAACTTGGTTTTTATTCTTAAAATACTAAAGATGAATACAATCCATCATTCAGTTCACCACTTGTCACTCAGTTATACTGGTTTTTTGGGACTTCCATCCCTCATCAGTAACCCTAGACAAAGGAAAAAAAAAAAAGAAATTATGCTTTATAGTGATGGAGTTTATATGTATGATGTTTTGTATTATATTTTACTCACTATGGTGAACCTATATTAATATAGAAATACACTAAGATTTGAAAAATTGGTAGCATCGAAGTTATTAATTTAGGTTTCTAAATTATTTAGTAGACAAGCTGTGTAAAATACTAAAAAATAAATAAGAAGCCCAATCATGTCTAAGAGTTATAATACACAATAAGATGCTTAGTCTTATTCTTTCATTTTGAATGATGAGAAGCATAACCAGAACAACTAAGTGAGAACCAGTAAATCAAATAACAGATAGAGTTTCACATATATTTTTTAGTATGTTAAAGAGCTTTAGGGGTGAATAATTCCCCAAATTAGAACATGATACAAGTACGCCCCATCACTATAGGAAGCTTAGTCTTATTATTTTGATTTGCCCTTGTCTAGAGTTACTGACCAGGGACAGAATTTCACAAAACCATTATAATTCATTGACAAGTGGTGAATCGATTGATAGATTGGTTTCATATTTATTAACAGTTTTTATTTTTGACCGAATCTCTTTTGTTATACCACTCAATCTCTTCTTCCTTCCGATCATTTTTGCAGGAAGCCATCAAATGTTTCAGGGCTCGCACCCAAGCATTCCGCGTTTCCTCATCACAGGCTACAAGATCTAGGACCTCGTGAGTTGGGCCATAGATGACAGAAAAACAGAGTTCTTCTTTCAAAGCAGGAACACGTTTGGAACGGAAGTTAACATGTAACTGTCGTCTCTGACGAGCCTGAACGATGTTAAACAGGTCTGTGGCCCAACCATCTCGGACGTCTTCAATCTCATGTACATCAACTGAAAGAAATACACCTTACATTTCACAAATGACTACAATTAAACTTAAAGCAAACAAATGTGATTTGTTTTCTTCAGGTTCTAACATTTTCTTAATATGACTAGCATAGTTATACATCTAAACAAGTTTAAAACAAATAAACACTAAATACTAGTACTTATATTTCTAAACAAACATTCAAAATTTATGGTTTCAAACTGATTATAAATATTATTTTATTTACAATTAAAAGAAATACAATGTTAAAATCATTACACAAAAAATAGTTATTAAAAACAAGGACTTGCGCTAAAAAAAGTCTCTACATACATTTCAGTGGCCAATGACACCATCTTCAAGACACCGAAACATATGTAGAGCCATTTTAACCCAGTTTTTAGTAACTATTTATTGTGTAATGATTTTAAAGTTGTAATGCTTTTAGTTGTATATAGATGTTTTACACAAGTGTCATTTTAAATTAGTTAAGTATTATTTTACTACAAATTACAGCTTTTACAGTATGGTAGAAATTAAAAACAAAACAACAGATTACAATATTTTGATCACTGGTGCAATCATTCTCAAGTACACAAGTACATACCGGTAGTCAAAATGTCGTACCTGTTTTTAGAAAAATTTCTTCCCTACTGTAAAAGCTGTAACATGCAATGAATATAATCCAAGGTTTATGTATACACAAATACTTCTCCATCTCATTAAATCTCAAAAAGTGAGTAAATTAGGAGTATAAGAACATGCATGTTTAGTCCTGTCCATAATGGTTTATACCTCTGGGAAGAGTATTATTTTGGGTCCTGGGTTAAACTGGTGAGTAGTGGTTTAAGCTGGCAACCAGCATTTCTTAAACAAAACTATAACATTGGTTTACTGGCTTCTCCCTGTTGGTGCTGTTTTTTAGCTAGATGTTCTCTACTGGGGTTGGTTTTAGCTGATCTACCAGGTGACCTAAACTAAGGATGTTTTTTTTGTTAGTCTATTAGATGTTCTCTACTAGGGCTGGTTTTTAGTTGACCAGCCAGCTGCACATAGTTTGAAGTTGCTAACCAGCTAAATTAAAGCTGACAACACATTAATGAACCCAGTTCTTCTAATCTATTATAATTATATTTGTTTTAATACTATAATTCTGTTGATTGCATCATGTTAGAAAAGTTGGTAATGACATAAAGTTAATTATAACTAACAAAATACTTGCAAGTGCTTGTCAGTATATGTGTAATAGCTGTAGATAAAAATATAAGTATTTAAAAGACTTTTTTAAGACAATTGTGAGGTTTCTCTCACTCATTCAACACAAGTAATTGTTTTCAAGGTTCATGCCTTACTCTGCCAATCTTAAAACTTTTCACGGTCAACTAAAGCTTTAACACTTGCTGCAAGGATAAAAGGAAATTATGTTCAGCTAAAACTTTGACATTAAAAACTTACTGAATTCAGGCCTTCTACAAAAAAAGCTTTTATTGGAACCTCGGTATTCCAGCCTTTGAGACTGCAGATTGACATAATAACGGCGTCGATAGAACTTATCCAAGGATCTCAATTTAAATAAAACAGTTCCATTGGCTATACCGTATATAATGTCTTTTAAGGAAAGTTTTTCTGAAAAAAAAAGAAGACAAAAGTAAGAAACTACAAATCAAAAATTCAGTTGAATTAATTCAATAATTTTAATAGATATATTATTTAAATAATAAACCTAACTAATCAATTATCCTTCAACACTTCTATCCAATAATCATTTCACAATTTATTTTTTTTAGTTATCCCTTAAACTGTTCTCTATTTGCAGAGTTGTATGTTCTTCAACATGTTGAAAAGATTTTTAGCCATAGCATAGTGACTCATAGAATGGCTCCGAGTTTTTTTTCAAGCAGAAACTTTTAGCTCATAGCTTCATCATCTCTTGACCAATTTTAGATTTAATTACAGTTTTGGACTCAGGAGGTCAAACCCTTTCATTTGATGTATTTGACCATGGTCAAGGTCTCATAGATTAATCAACTCTAATCCTGCCTAAAAAAATTTAATTTGAGGGTAGGTTTGAAGAGATCCTGATGAGTAATAAAACTGAATCAGGTATACATGCACTCCACACTTGGTATTGTTGGCGCACAAAAATATAGCTAATAAAAAGGAAAAGAAGGTATCATAGATTAATTTACTCTAATCCTGCCTAAAAGAAATAAATGCTGCAGCTATTGAGGATTTCCTCTCACTTTTCTTTCACTTGTTACAACATACAATGTGAACACAAAATAAATTTGGTCAAAAAATTCACTTACTATGCAAAATGAATAGGAGATCCCAGTAATAATAACTACAACATTAATACATCTCTTGTTTAATTTTTTGTGACTCATATGCTTTTAGAAACCCAAGCATGTAAACAACAAATTAAGTCATGGATGCAAAACAAATTTGATGCATAAGAGTTTAAGAAGCCAGTGGGATATACGTCACATCATAATTCTAGGGTTGAAGTGCTAATTCAAAATTAACAAAAAGTTAATCAACTTTGTAACATGTATATTAATTTACTTGTAATTTTTTTTTATAATGCATATTTTGTGGGTAAAAAAGTTAAAGTGCATGCAGAATTTCAGAAATGCAAAGTATGCACAGCAGACTGCTCTTCTGTGATAGAAAAAAAGCCAGAAAGAAGAAAGATGGCAGCTCCAAATGTAAAGATGTACTAATACAAGTGCAATAAATATAACACGTTTCCAGTTTTTAATAAGTTGAAAAGCATGTTTAAAGTTAACGTCAAATCGTTATAACTGAAGCTGTAAAGAAAAATTGAGGCCATGTGTCAATGATTGTTTGTTTATTTCAGAATTTTTGTGCAAAGCTGAAACAAATTGCTATCTGTGCACAGCTGTCTATGATTTTAAACTGATAGATTATGAGGAAGGCAACTAGTCAAAAAACATCCATTACCAAGCCTGCATTAAGGTACTTTGGGGCCCCTTGAATAGGGTACAAGCATGTTTGAAGTTAATTATAATTAATACTGTTACGTCTCTGGTCGTTTGTTAATTTCCGTTATAAATTCTTCCAGAGGAACTTCAGCGATACAAGTCCTTTCTTAAATAAAACTAGTTTATTCTTTCTCATTACAACTTTGCAGTACACAGAATTTCCACAGTCACTTTAATTTAAACACACACTATAATTCACAACGATTCATGCACTTTACTTACGGTCACCATAACTCGCTTGACTTAATTATCTGTCTCCATATTTCTCCCCATCTGCAATCATTTGCGGGGCTTATATAAAAAAAAGAGGGCGCTTAGAAAAGACTAGAATTGCCACGAAAAGTCAAGATCCTTCGAGAATCTCATGACGTGTTACCAGCGTCACGTTACTTCCGCTGTTGTCAAAATACTATTAAGTTAATTACAGAATATGACCTAATTAGTCAAAGTAAATTAGAATATGATGATTTTAATTTTTAAGGTTGATATATTCAAATTAAACAATAACAATAATTATTATTTTCTTGTAAAACATGGCAAGTAAGAATGAATTAGGTACATAACAAACAATATAGTTATTGTACAACATTACGGAAGCATGCCAGAACATTATCCTAAAATCGTTTTTTCCTTGCTTTGGCGGAAGCAGAATCTCTAATTACTTCTTCATAATTTATTTGCCTAAGCAATTTCCTTTCTATCGCGAGCAAGGAAAGGGCATTTAAGTGTTCATTTAAGATCCAAGCACGCAATTCGTTTTTTACTCTAGCCATTTTAGAAAAACTGACGGTTTGGATCGTCAGTAGGCCATGCCCGTTCCGTGTATAAATGGGAATGAGTAATAACGATGCTGGTACTCATACGCTCGCGACAGTTTTACCAGCATAATTGTAATAATTTCTGCTGGTTTCTATTTAACACTGACGGTTCACTTAGTAAGACCAAAGATGCGCGCCTAAGTAACGTAAATATGCTGCCATCTAGTGATAAACAATTACGTTCATCGCAACATTTTTTCACAGTATTCGTTGACATGGGTGTCTTTCTCTAATGGGTAATTATAGATTTACAGTAACTGAGAAAAGAAAAAAACGTTCACACTAATCCGAATGAAGCGTTCCAATAAACTGATGAGCAGACACCAAGAAAAGTGTTAAGTAATTAATCGAGACAATTACTAGACTGAATTGTAAATTCAAGACATTATCCATATTTTATGCCTAAAAAAACTGACTAAAACCATGCCTGACAGCAAATTTTTATTTTACATTCCTGTTTAATTAGTCCACACCTCTCTACTTAGAAGACAGTGACGAACAAATTAACATGATTATAAAGGGAAAATAAAATTCCGCGCAGACATAAACATACGTTAAAAACAAACGAATACCAAGAACAATAAAAATTAATTAAGTTGTAAATCACAACGACGTTTCGCTTCGATCAGCTGGTCAGATCGAAATACAAGGGAAGAAAAAATAAAGAGGTGCGTGTTGTTAGATAGTAACACGCTTAACGCTTGAGATTGGAATTGTTTGTAATTAAGCACAAAGCTACATAATGGGCTATCTGTGCTCTGCCCACCACGGGTATCGAAACCCGGATTCTAGCGTTGTAAGTCCGCAGATATACCGCTGTGCTACTAGGGGGGTTGAGATTAGAAAACAGTAGTAAAACTAACATTAGTTTTATGTAGGAAGTAAACCGAAACGTCGCCAAAATAAAGTTTTCACGAAACTTGTTATTTAGTTTGTTTGTTATTAAGCCCGAAGCTACACAAAGGGCTATCTGTGTTATGCCCATCGCGGATATCGGAACCAAAGTTACAGCGTTGTAAGTTGTGATACTTATTGCTAGCTGAGCCACCAGGGAGCGCTCCGATCACTTTTACTTATTTATTTCAATAACATTCCAGAGCGCTGGCTTCTTCATTCGCACCGGAAACAATAAAATCTGGGTAATACTTTCTAGTAAAGAGGTTTTCCATATCTCGAGAGTTTAATTCAAAATCATATAGTTATCATTGCATAGCCTACAGAGTCGTAAAAACTGTGAATATGGTACAGCTTTATTTTGTTGCTGTAAAGTTGAGAGAAGGTAAAATGTGAGGAGATGTTCCGAGACGTAGTTTCCTTCCGGCAGGCTTCTAATACTTGCTAGTTGTAGAGAAATGTGGCATCTTAACAAATAATTGTCTCGTGAAATGTCAAGTGGGCGAAAGCAAGCACGAGAGATACTTCTACTTTGTAATCAAACTTGATTTTAATTATTATCTCTAGTAGGGCCGGCTTCAGATCACCATATCATCAGTAGACATTACATAACCAAAATTTCAGATTTCTTGATAACCTTTTCATTTAACAAACCTATCTGTTCCTTCCTTCGAATCAGTTTGGGTTAAAAAAACTTAAGTTTCCTTTTTGTTACAAATGTGCGAATACCTCTTAAAAGCCTAGTTTCTTGAACTCGGTAGAAGATTGTTTTATACTGTTGGGCGTGTGCCAGGAGGTAGAGCCAGTCAATGTTAAAGCAAGGAATACAACTGTAAA